TCCTCTGCGGTGTAAAATAGAGAATTCAAAGTACAGCTGTTGTAGTCTCTTATTTTGCATCATTTAAGGCAGCTCCAGATTTCACTAAGCCATATAATTACCTACCTCACTGATGAAGCACGTAGCTTTCAGTGTGAAGTGGTAAGAATTCGAACTGTAAGTATATCAGACATACCATGCATAACCTACAAGCCATGTCACAAGGGATCTTTGAGTCTCAGTATTGTGGGACTGGCTACCAGGTTTTCCCTCAACTTCTACTTGACTTCAATATCATAAGAACTGAGGAGTACTAGTAATCGACATGTATGTGCTTCAGTTGCTAGTGCCCCATATCTTACTAGCAGCAAACGATGGTAGGACTTCGTAGGCTTCGTATTTTCGGTCTCCGTGATAGAATGACTAGTCTAGAGGGCCACTACGGCGACCACCATGGCTACTCGTATACCAGTTGACAAGATCTGTATGTCGAGCTGGTACATTCTAGCACTGAATCCAGGAGATGCCTGTGACGACCATGTGAGATATGCAATATTCGTACTCTCCAAGCAGAGGTTTTGTTTAGGCCTATTCTTTGACGTTAGAGGTTTAGGTTTATTCTTTGACGTGATTTTAGGAGTGTTTATCAGGCTTTGATTTTCATAATTTTGTAGCTTTTTTTACGCCAGCTTGGGTACTGCTTGGCCAATTTGATACTGTATTGCCAATTTGATACTGTGTCGCAGCTACGGAAATATCTGTTTGGAGATTACAATATACGCGCGCAAATGTTCTTACCTGCTTCGCACAGCCAATCCTAGACTATCCCGTGCGGATATCCCGCGAAATGGCCGCCGCCTCCGCACTTGAAGTTCACCTGCCACCCGTGCCGGAGACTCGCTCGGTCCGTAATCCTGATTTACCCCGTCCGAATATGCGAACTGACACACGCCCGCCCTAAGTACCGTGTGCTCCGGATAGCGGCCGATCAACGTTTACCTGGCTGATCCTCTACCAAAGCTCTTAATCACGACACAACCAGCCTCCTAGATCCACTACCTCGACCTCCACGACCCCAAAAGTCGCACCGAACTCTGACCTTCTCCGATATCAATGTATCTGACGATATGCAAAGTCCACACGCTCGTGATGTAACGTAACACACTAGAGGTACTGTTCGAACATGGCCGTTCGGTGGGCACCCAGTCTGTGGCGGACTGACCATTGCAATGAATGTATCTAGGTCACGTCTGGTAATATAAAAACTCCCGTGGTTATTATACTGTATGTTACACTTTCAGGGCCACACTATATAGTGGTGTTACGTGTTCGTCGCATGAATTGTAGCTTTTGGAACAGATACTAGTAAAAAGATGGTCAGAATTGTGAATACGTCAGACACGTCGTGCCGAACGCACATCGAGTATATATTGGATACAAGTCCCAACTTACAAGCTCTAGACTAAAACTTGTACATAGAAATGGCACAAAAACCATGGCAGATAAGGCACCTGCATACAATGCACTCCCTTCTTTACATAGAATTGCACTATCATATGTAAATATAGCAATGCAGTGTCTACTGAAAATCTGTGCGATTATGTCCTAATAGCTATAGCTGCTAACAGTGCCTGCATCAGGTGCATACGCGTACGGTTGTACCTATTTTGTTACAGCTGAAATAAAGGCTCCCTTCGCCCATCACATGTACTTTTCAAGGGCGAGAGGAGATGATGACACAAGACGACCATGTGAGAGCTGGTAAATATATCTAGCATACGCAAAGCAATGGCAGGCGACAAAACACAAATAGATGTCTCATTTTGATGGATAGCAATCTTCGTAGCAGTATACGAAAGAACAGAACGGTTTTCTCCAAATATACCATTGAACCGACCACATGCACTACCTAATAGCTTTCTTTGAAGAAAAAGCACAAGACAGAAGCAAATACATAAGGTTATGAATAACCCTCTCAAAGAAATAATAGCTTTGACCGTAGCATTTCTATTTGTGCCAATATGACCATGTGAGGTTGTCAACAAGAGGTTTCCGTCTATTCGCCGGCAAAGCAACTTCAGATTTTGCAGATTCCCTGTCCTGGCTAAGTGGATTTAGTTGCACATATTACATTTACGTTTGATACATGTGTGAATGTGTAGAGTAGCCTCATACAGCACTTAGAATATTGCACCAGTATCCAATGACACCTAAAATGTTAGAAAAAAACACTTCGACGACACAAAAAGGCGTAGTTCTACTTACCCCAAAGAAATCCCACACAGTACAACTGCTGCATTTGACTGAGATTGGAGGGGAACATGGCCATACAGTTCATAATCAACCTACATAGCGTTCACTGGGAGAAGGCGTATGCTCTAGGATGTCTATTACTCATAACATACTAGTAGTATGACCACGTTGACTGAAAAGAAAGACCCAACGCCTAGACTATGGACATTATATAGTTTACACAAATATGCATGCAGTTTGGTTCTCGGCAAAGAACATTACTATTACTATTAGTGGCGGTTGCCTACACTACAGGCTGCCACTACCCCATATACAAGTACATGATAGTATTGTTAGAAACCGGGAACTAACATTGTCCTCACATCCACGGCCATTCCAAGACCGATTCATTTATAGATACACATTGCAACACTGCATTGCAACGAGGAGAAATATTGCAAAATGGTGTGCAATTCACAACATGGGTAACACTACATAGTCCACACGTATATCTGAACGCGCACAGAAAACGTTTTAAGGGTACTGCTGCTTACTGAAGAAAGAAGCAGTACCCTTTACGAGGTAGCCACTGTAAGTATTTTTCCCAACTTCAGCTTCTCAAAGGTGTATATGTACTAGGCGTGCGGAACCCAGTTGCAAATGGCGGCCCCCTTCACAATATACGGTCTGGACATTCCTTACCACTACTGTGTTTTGTACGCACGATTTGGAGCGAAGTTGTCAACAGTGGAGTGTATGGGCGTACAACCGAAGCCGTGAATCCACATTTCACCCCAGCTGTCTTACCATTGTGAGTACCGTAGAGCTCGAGTCCAAAGCTACACCCCTTTTGTAAAGGCCGTTCTACGAAAAGCTGCACAGGAGGGCATTGCCACATGTCCCTTTAAAAATGGTACCAATGCAGATTCTCTCCTGTTCTTGTGGTCTTTCTGTAATGTTTCCATTAGGAAGCTCTTACCTGTTATAAACAACAGCGTTTCACGTGTGCCAACCAGAAAAAAGTTTAAAACATGACCTTAAAAACCAAAAATCTAGTATATACAGTTTAAATAATGATTCATAAATTCGGTAACGTTGTTGCCTGAGACATACTACATGTCCCCAGTACAATATATCCTTTCCTAAACATCCTTTCCTTGACACGTAAATTCTGCCTCTTCTAGACATTTAGATTTTTTAAAACCCAGAATATTGTACGCAATGTAATATTACGCTAACAGCTGAAGACAAAACCTTCCAAAGCAAAGGGCAAATAGTACTGCAGTATGAATGAGGAGATAATATAGCCTGCAACCAGTTGAATTTGAGGGTGTTAACTGCAAACTGCAACAGTGCACTACTAAATTTTACCTCAGAATCCCTTCTTTGTCAGTGTTGAGAGAGAGCGTGACATATATATGAGCAAACAGCAACAAAAATCTAGCTTGTCTCCCAACTAACGCCCACCATCCCTTTCCTTGACAAGTACAGTTGTCCACATTTGCGAAGGTTATGCATTCAAGTACGTATGTGAGTGTGTTACAAAGCATCGGTGTCATTTGGCGAAAGAGCAGTGCAATTTCCTCTAGTCATTTCCTCCATACAGCAGGCCTGTACAGCCTGCTATTTCATGTGCTCTCATATAGAGGGCAATCTGGTTGTAGCAAACATAGGCAACTGAGTGTCCCACCTGCGCTCAGCTTTACCACAGCGCCGACCGTAGCGCACCGGTCTACCGTCGGTGCACACACGCCCAGACGCCCGAAGGACTCTGTTGCGCTACCCGGTGAAGCCCGATAAGTCAACGTCACCGCATCGGGCATTAGAAAGGCGAGCCATGTGCACAGCACCCAGCGAGCTCCGAGCCGAACGCTTACCGATGTCTAGAACTTTGAAAAACGACTGCATCATTGTCATTTCACACTTGTGATTTCTCCTGCAATAACCATAAACTACGAACCTATGTACAAACTAGAATCATTGCTTTTTTGCCCCTTTCTTTACCCTTCGGTCATGCCTACCCACCACACAAACCTAGATTCAAAAGCCTTCATATATATTGAAAAACCCCTATTGACTTGTATACTGAATTTAATACGCCATATATCTATATGCGATTTAAAATACAACAACCTAGTACCTACTGAGATATTAGCACTGAGAAGACCAAATCAAAAACACACATCTTGTGTTGGTTATGTATATACTTTATTCACTGTACAAGTTTAACGTTATACCTTCCTGACTTGGACTTGCTAGCATCAACATTCATGTCTATTTTCATGCTAAAATGTCCCATTTTGTCTTTCCAACAAACGGAAAATATTTCATAAACTCCTTAGACATGTGGTTCATATATTTTTTGTAAGAAGTAGTCATATGTATGTGATTTAATGTTGTTTTGCATTCACGTAACGCAATATAGTGTATATATACTATATACATGTTTAATAGACGTCCAGCCTATGCACATACACTATACCGCCATATTTTTGACGACTTCAACGTGTGGTTAGCACAAGCCTGTGTCATATTTCTATTCTGTTGAGATGGTCGTGTGTATTCTGTGTTTGGCACGAAAAGAATGGTGCCGCTTTTTGTATCATAAACTAAAGTCTCATTCTGCAGCAAATTTCATCTGCACAATGATGTCCTTTGGTTAGATTTTCCATGTGTCACTAGTCCCATAACACGTTTGTTAAGGAGAAAGCCTCCATTGCCGTGCACGACTGTGTTGGCCATTTTAGATTTTAATCGAGCTTCTTTTTCAGGGGCATTATGTGTAGTAAATGCGTCTTCAACCACCCCCGCCAACGTTTGCTGCCTGCGCGGCGGACCAGGCTGTAGCTCCCGCCGAAGTACAGCGCGTATCCCGGTCCCACGTCTACGGGCTACGCCGCACGGCACTGTATGTCCCCCGCACCGCGTTCTAGCAATGCGCCGCGCGCCCGCTCACATCACGGAGACCGGGTCACGGAGAGGTAAAATCATTTCATCTTCTTGACGTGTAGTGCTGTCGACTTGTGTTTACAATGTATGGATGTTTTGGGCTCGGTACAACACGAACTAGGCGGGTGTTGATTTAGTTTTGTCAGGCGGTCGCTGAAGCCCCTCTTCCCCGCGCCCGGCTCCGGTGATGCGTCCGAGAGCGCGGGTAGCGGGTTCGTCACGCTCGCGCTGCCGCGCCGAGGCTGACTCGTCGGCCGGCGAGAGCACCGCAACTCGCTGCCGCAACAAAAGCCCGGCTTACCGCCCGGACGTGGGCTTAGCGCCGCGGCAGCGCCAGCCCGGTATGAGGCCCCATCGCTCTGGTAACCAAATCGATTTCTTTCCCGCAAATATCCATTGTACATGTGAAGCATTTAGGGAACAATCTCGACAAACAAGTGCTCCGCATTCAGTGTACGTGGATACTCACTAGAGCCAACCAGAGCCGCCCTGCCGGTGGCACCGATGAGGGCTCGATACGCTTACGGAGCAGGTTGGCGGTGTTCGCCGATAACGCAGGTGGATTTCTGCGGTAGCAACCGCAACGGTTCTGAGCCTCCCTTGGGTCGCCCCACGGCAATAGTCGGGCGCAGCGCGGTGTTGGTTGCAGCGTGCAGGACCAATCACAGACCAGGCATTCCCTCCCCCCTCCTCCCCCCAAGATTGGCATGATGTATGTCAAAGATAGCTGAAATGAATAGGTTCATTTGAACGGAAAAGAATAAATTACGGTCAAGACATAGTGGAGGGGGGAAGCGGTCACATTCCCTCCAGTCTCTCTGGGCATTTCCCTCTTTGGGATACGCCTTCTTCTTTGATTGGTTTCTCACATGACCGTGAGGGGATTTTGTACCCTCAGCAGGCAGAGCGATTGCCATTGAAATGCAAGAGGAGTTGTGTGCGGGTCGAGGCTCCCTTTCAGACCAGCGCGCTGCCGCAGTGCCCCGCGCGCGCCACGTGTTGATCTGGTCCCCGCCGAGAGCACACAAAACAGCCCGCTAGCTCTGCTGCCTTCGGGGAGGGCTGCCGACCGCGCGCGGTCCGCTGTGTAGGCACAGGGGCCCTCTCCTCCGCGAGCAACTGAGTAGTGTGCGGATGCGGACCCTCATCACGCAATCATAGCAAACCCTGCTGATTCAGCCTACACATTATTATTACACAGGCCCTGCCACACTATCACTCAATACCATCCAGTTTGAGGGTTCCCTACTTGACTAACCGAGCGAGAAGTTTATAAATGAAGCTGCACATGCCGCCGTGTTTGTATTCCGGCCCGGCCGGGTCGGATGACCTGGGGGTGCTCCGGGCGAGCGTCGCGACCGCTGATTGGGCGAGAGATTGTTGAACTATCATCAGAGGGCGGGGACCTCCATTGTTTATCTGCCGTCTTATCGACTCGTGACGTCACGCTGTCATTTTGGATTTAATCGTCGCGCTGTTCCGCCTAGCGGACGGCACTCCCTCTGGAAACTAGCGAGGGGGATTTTTTAGAAAGCAGGTCACGTCCCCATGTCTGGGTGACCGCCCCGCCATCCCTCATCGTGCGGACACGCCATTACCGATATACCGGGGATGAATTTACAGGCCCCGCCATGATGGATTCGTCTGATGGCTATCGGCTTCAGGTGGAGAGACGCCATTACCGCGGGAAATGTTTATGCCGGCGTGTGTAGGTACCTCAGACGCCGAGGTGGGCCAAGAGGGCGAGCGGCTCCAAACGGGCGCTTGTTTTGCATTCTTCACAAAAGAGGAGTAGGCTCAGAAGCGGGTCGAAGTGGGCTCTTCGGCCGTCGGAACCGCCTTCAATAACACGCAGCTTGCGATTTAATCAGGATCGAGCACCGACCGTAAGTGTTCCGCTAACATATCACCTTTTCGATCCGCCCAGCCTTCAGCCGCACTGGAAAATCATAATCACGGAGGACAGACACCTGCCGGGCTAATTCGTGCAAATAAATATGGTGTTTTGCACCCAATATCTGACTGCGGCATCAGTTCGTCTCCATCAGTGTATTTATACATTCCCGTAGCCTGCTGCAGACGTTACCTTACCGTAATAAGCAAACGTCACTTACTGCGGTAATAACTAGATCTGCTCGGCCGCCCCGATATAATACAACGCCTCCATTATTCAGTTGCTTGGAGGGTTGCATACCAATACTCGCAAGAAGACATTCTATAAATTGGGGAAAGCAAATCCCACGTAACGGGAGGCATATAATGGTGGGGGTCATAGAATTGCAAAAGGGTACTTTAGAGAGTGCCGTGCTGCAACATGCATTTTGCAGAGCTTGTCTGGCAGACCCTAGGTGTCGTGCATGGAGGGGGGGATTCGCCATAGGCGTCGGCTCGCACATGATAAGGAAAATTAGTTTCCTCGGTAATAACAGAATTGCGGTGCCTTGGTGCTTCATCTTCTCCGTATCAGCAGGACTGTGCATTGGGAGGTAGAAATTGGTCGGACGTGATCTAGGTGGGCGATCGACCTTTTTGGCGTGCGCCTATAAAAGAATAATTCAGGGAAGCAATCTATGTCGAGAAGACCGAGCACAAACATGGCGGCCGCTCGGGCCCGCGCACGGATGTTTTCGGTCGATGGTGGGCAGCACAACTGCACGGGCTGCCAGAAGCGAGGCGGACGGCAAATCAACTCATTCGTATACAATTTTCTTCACGTGAAACGCAGTCGTTCTCAATATTCGATTGTTAGTATTACACCAGAGATAATCGGCATTTCGTATCGGAAAGAGATTTTCGGGACGAGATGCCAGTGAATTCGAAGCACGTCCGCATCATTTTGGCTAAGAAGACATTATTGTCAAGAGAACCCGGAATGGTTGTAAACAAATGGTCATCGTCTCGTTCTACACGATGAAAGGCCCCTTTGGCCAAAAGTCTGTCCTCTTTACCACCTGACATATAACATTCACCAGCCAGGCTATGACGAATGCCAGCTAGTACTGTAGACTATCCGCTGTAGTAGTAGTATCGTGGTAGAGAAGGTATTGAACAGACACATTGTCGGGATTCTTTCAGTACTGCGCTTTGCCGCAACTCATTCTACCCTATTATTGACCAGCACATAGACAAAACGTGTGTCATAGATGTCGATGGGGTGGACAATGCCAATGCAAAATCGCTTAATAAAAAGGAGGTACACTAGGTGTGCGTATTCTTACTCTGTAGACATTTGGTACACTGGGTTTGCAGCGGTGACCGAGTCCACAAATCTATACGTAAACATCATATGCTGTCATGTTGCTTCTGCTCTGTGTTCTTTTCTGAGTTCAAGTATAAAACAACTGATGCAATGGGCTTGGCAATACGCTGTCAAAGATGATATATATGTTTAGGAGTAGTATGATTTTAGTGCTGATATGTAACATTGCCTCAGTCAAAGGAGACGACACTCGTCCTTTTTATCATAATACCAAAGTAAAACGATTATCATCAAATTCACGAGGGTATAAACACCCGACTGGCATTTGTTGGATATCAGTAAATCGGCATATTTTGTGTTGTTTGTTTCAGTGTAAAGCTGATGGTCTCAGAGCGTTTTTTTTATTCTCCTTGGATTTGTAACTTTGTATCCGAGGCAAAAGCCTGCATGCCAAAAACTGCGGGTTTGGGCGGTCTTCAGGGTCTTTGGGAGCTTCTATGTGCTATTTTCTGATTGCATATAGACAACATAGCCGGTCTGGTTGAATTACCCCCGTCATCAGAAAACAGCCGAAGACCACCAAACCCCCAGTTCTACAAGCCTGCTACGGAGGCTACCGAGGCAAGACCTAGCCGCCATAGAGGTCGTTCAATGTGCCAATGTGTTAACAAATGGTGCCATTGCGCCGGGTGACATACAGTTAAGTATCCAGATCCAGCACTCTCCTGTTCCCGTGGACATTACTCAGGGAACGGAACGTGACACACATTCTGTATGGTGTGTGACTCCTGCCCTTTATATTGCCATTATATTGCCTTTTCTGTGTGTCCTGGGCAATGGGAAACGAACCCCAGTACAGCCATAGCCGGCATTACCCCACGACATAATGCCGATCCTTGTCTTCCGATCGCCGGCGAGAGTATGCATCTCGTTTGTTCCCGGCGCTGCTAGTACTTTTTCTGCACGGCTGAACTTGACTTCCCGTCTTTTCCACGTTTAATGTTTTCCTGAATATGGCTCGCACAAGAAAAACTGCTTCTATCTAATGGTCATTTCATCCTGACATATCTACACACTGGCACACTAGCTAGCTTCTGAAAGGAGACCAAATATTGGATAGCCTGGATAACTTTGTAGCCAAACAAAAGAGAGTTGAATATGCGCCTGGTGAGATCTCAGCCCATCTTCAATCTTCAAGAGCACTGAGTTCTGAGTTAAGGCCTTACAGTTTGATTAAGATTAAAATGTCAAAGAGAACTTCATAATATAACTTCTTAAGTCCATATAATGATGGAGAGGATATTACATTGTATAACAAAGCTGCAGCCGAGAATTGTGATGATGGTTAAAATAAGGTATAACTCATGCATAGAATTATTCATTGTTATGCGTTACTGATCGTGCTTGTTTGCAGAATGCAAACACATTCTAAATGCATAAACTGAATGCATATTGCTTTTGCTAGCTATATACTAGTAGTAGTGACGATGTGACGAAGCAAGGTAATCTAAAGCAAAAACCAAACCAGTAGCAATGTCCATGTAAAAAAACAATGGGTATGATTTTCTTATCATCTGCATGAAGACTAAGATATAACTGCTTAAAAAACAATATCCTCTCTTGTTGCGAAGACACCAGACAAAGATGCATGTGCTAGGCAATGTTATGGAGCTATCACAAAGGTGTGATCATACTGTAGTGCTTTACCGTAATGATTGTACTCGAAGACAAGTGGATAGCTGTTAATCTATTCAAACAAATACTTTGCATTTAAGAATGAATGTGTTAAGCGTTGTACTTGAACACAGTGAAAAAAATAGAGGACCAAATTCACTACATACCACTCCATCTATCCATGTGATGCTATCTTCCCCATACAAACCATTTCGACACTGAGCGAAATATCATGATAACAATACCATGTTTCCCTCAAACAATAGATATCCATCTTCTCGTGCTAGACCATTTCTAAACCACCAGGCTGTTTTTTCAAGTTACAAAAAGTGATAACATATATATTTCATTTGCCGTTTTGTTATAAAGAATACGAAGCATCCAAATGGTATTCCTGCAATTTCTTTATCAGATACTGTACTGGAAGGTATATTGTAGGCTAACGTACTACTACTACTACTCCAGACATCGGTATGTACCCTTGCATCAATCA